CAGGTCCTGTATCAAACCAAGGGTTGTATTTTATGGTTAGATATCAAGGAAAGTGGACGAAAGATGTAGGTCAAACAGTATGATTAGAAATACAGACCAATAAATTGCATCCAACAATAGTTCACTTTCCTGCTGCTAATGGAATATTCTAGCACAATTTAATGGCTTGTTACTTGAGCCTGCTGGAAAGACTTTGTCCTAGTACAAAMGACGTTCAGTTTGAGCATGTGCATTACAATCTTCTAACCAGCAAAGCTGGAGGTTGGACACAGCTATAAATCCAGTGTGTTCTGGGAATAGAAGCTGGCAAAAACACTCAGAGCTAAATAATCAGGGCAGGATCTTGCTGGGATTTGGATACTGGCTAATGTAACTAAGTGCAGATGTTTATGTGAACTGAAATAGATTCCCAGAATAAGAATATTGTACAAGCACATGAAGACTTTATAGCAGGAAAAAAGGAGCCAAGGAAGTGAGGATAATAAAATAAGCACTCTTATTTTTGGTGAAGCATGTTCTGTTTCCCTCTACTTGCCTGCACTGAAGTGGTCACGGCTGCCTCTACTGCGACCCCTGCTGAGGGCTGYTGAAGCTTCTGTGGAATGCGTGGATTGTGGCTCTGGTGCTTCCCTGAAAATCTCCATGGACTCCCCGTGTGGATGCCACAGTCTGTGTTAGATGAAAGGAGAGATGCAAGCATTTCTGAAAGTGTTACGCTGAGGGAACAGCTGAAATAGGTCAAATTAATCTTATACCAAAAAGGTCAGATTAGTCTTATCCCAAATGCCTGGTTATTAGTTTTACATCTGTATTATTTTTGTCTGAACTCCACTGGCTACATGATGAAATCATAATTTCTTTTCTCTTAGTTCCTTCTTATTTATACAGCTGAAGAACTACCTCCTCTTCATTTTCCTTAACAATTTTTAATTTAGCTGGTATTTCAGGGCTTCCCAGCCCTGACTTTTGGGTTAGCTGCACCAATGTTTTGGTTTTTTTTTTTTTTTTTCTTCCCAGCCCTGACTTTTGGGTTAGCTGCACCAATGTTTTGGTTTTTTTTTTTTGGTTGTGATTTTGTCAACTGTTCAATTTTGAGACTGAACACACACATGGAAAAAGCCAGGAGCACCAGCTTTTTCATTGTGTGTTAAGCACACAATTATGGTTGAAATGGAATGGATTGTCAAAACACAAACTAAATTCATTTCCTGTTGTACATTGTAAGCAAAACTTTAGATCTCCATAGCAGGTCAAATGTGTCCTTACAGGGAAGAGGAAGCAGCTTCAAACATGAAGCTGCAATGTATAAAGAGGGTGGTAACATATGAGAATTTCCTCAGCAATGATGAGATGAAAGCTAAGATGATGTATCTGAGTTTAGCATTACACTTCAAGGAAGCTGTAGACTACTTGAAGAATATTGGGAAGAAAAACAGAGGTGAAGAACACTTGACTAGGACATTTGAGACAAAAAAGAAAGGAGCTGGACATACATCTCCGCTTTATCTTCTCTAGGTAATTAATCTTAAGAAATAAAGGACATGGCTATAAAAGTGAAGAGAATAAAATTCTGTTTGCACTTATCAAAAGGACATAAAATAGAAGGTTGAATTTCAAGCTTTCCCAAGGTAGTTAAACACTGACAYCTAGGCTAGGAGGTTGTTGACATCTGTAATGACCATTCATTTTTAAGAACAGGATAAACAACTACCTTCAGGGAACAGATTTGCGTTTTTCTGCCAAAGARCAGTGAAAGTAGTAGGGTCATAAACCCCCTCCTCTTTAGGGGTCTTTAGGGTTCCAGTAGATTACCATGTTTTGCTTTTGGATGACATCTAGGGGGCTTATTTTAATGGTCCAGTTTTTCACCTATGTTTTTAATTCTCATGCATTCATTTTTCTCAAATAGATACAAATTGTGTAGTTTATGCTTCTTATAATTATGTTTCTCATAGAACCTTCGAATATCTCAGGATGGAAATGGAACATAAGAACTRAAGAGTCTAATTGCCTGCTCCTTGCAGGACTTCCTAAAGCTAAACCAAATAACCAAGAGCGTCATCCAGATGCTCCTTGAACTCAGACAGGCTTGGTGCTGTGATCATTTCCCTGGGAGCTTGGCCCAGTGACAGACCACCCTCTGGCTGAAAATCCTTTTCCTAGTGTCCAGTGTTGATACATGAGAATTAAAAAACAGTTTTGCTCCAGAAGTTTTCTCAGCTCCCCCTTCTGTGATACAGGCATAGTGGGAAGGTGACAGAATTATGAAGGATGCTTGTCAAGGAACTCCACAGCATAGCTGTGCACTGTAATATGTTTATAGGATTGACAAGTATCCAGATGGACTTCTTAGGAGCTTTGACAAAAAAAAAAAAAAAAAAAAAAAAAAAAAAAAAAAAAAAAAAAAAAAAAAAAAGAAAAAAAAAAAAAAGAAAAAACGTGGAAGGCAAGAATTTGTCAAATAATGTGTTTTAATTAAATAAATTCTGTTGTTTTAATACAGTCTTTTAATATCATTAAACTTGCTTACTCATAAATTCACCATCTGAACTGTGTKGAGCCTGACAAATGTTTGGATTATACTATGTAACATTCTGTTGAACATTTTTTTTTCTATTGTTCTGTTGGAATTCCAAAGGATGCATCTTGTTTCAGAAAAGAAAGTGAGGTAACACTGAAGAAAGACTTATGGRCATGTAGATAAAATGTACACTGGTTCAAAAAAAATCTCTTAGATTTTTGCCAAGAAGTAACTGAAAATCAAAACCAGAGAAAAGTAATGTGATTTTTTAAATCTGGGCCTGTAAAGACAGAATGGGTGGGGTCATGATGCTGTTTGCACACTAGTAACAGAGCATAACCCTTCTTTTTTTGAGTAATAATGTGGACCTGGCTCTGCAGCTTTTTTTTTTATGGGACAACTCCCAGTTAAAGTCAATGCCTAATAATTTTTCTGTATTTACCACTTTTTGAGAATTTTTGAATTTTTTTTTCTTTTTATCCGACGTTTGCTCCTTTTGCAGGTGCCAAAAGCAAATGCCCTTGTTATTCAGGCTGCTGTCATGCAGAGGGAGTTCGAGAGCTGGGAATAAMGC